TAATCTCTTCGCGGCCACTTTGATGGTACGCGGATGAGGCAAGTTACGTGTACAGGGATCGAGGAAGTCCCATCCTGGGTATTGCATCAGAAACATGAATCATGACGAAATGTTGAGTCAAATATGCATCATATTCTAATACGGAAAAGAAAAATTGTATACACATGACCATAATTGTAAACATAAAATTAAAATATATTAAAACATTTTAAAAGGGAAATATGCAGTATAAATAGAGATCTTCGAAAATATGATGCTTATTCATAAAACAGGCAAAATATGCATTTACGGGTATATGCACCATCAAATCATGTCCAAAATTTGAGAAATGAAGTAATTCATACATATATCCAAACGAGCATACTTTCTGGTTGCAAGAAAGAAATATGCATTTGCATTAAAATCCAGTCCCTAGCTATTATATAAAACTCTTTATTAAGTCCGTTGCAATCTGTATTCCCTACAAAATGGACATAAATACATCGTACGACGAGGCACCGACCAAACAATTAATGTTAAAATTATACTTCACGGGCCTCCAAACAGTTTACCATATAAAAGTCTAGAATATACCATGTCCGCGGGAAAATACAAGATTGTAAGGACTGACTTCGTGATATAGATTATCACTTGAATAGTTTTAACCTTATTTTATGAAATAAATCTTGTTTTATAATAAGTTTATATTTCATTGTAATTTTTTACCATGTGTTTTAAAATATGATAATTGTCAAGTATCCAGATTTACTACGCAATTGCAGTTCACTAGTGTGTAAACATGATGATCGTGTATTTACCTGATGATGGCTATGAATAGCCGAAACATGTAGCAAAGCTAATTTAGCTTTGAACACTGTATCGTTGTGTTGGGACGGTCTTAATAAATAGCTGTACAATATTACATGTTATATAGTCATATTCAAAACATGGATCCATATAAACAAACATGTTCAGTAGCTAAGCACGAAACAATTTTTACAATCCAGAACATTTTTGGAAAGGTACAAAGATAAGGCAAATTTTTCCTTGCACTTAATTAATTAAGCACTATGCCTTGACGAGTTATGGGGGAGTAGATTTATAGCACCACATTTTTTTTTGCCCATTTCACTAAGTAAAGAGGTTTTCTTAACTGTGTTGTGTTTGTAGTCCTTTGAATAAGCGGAAGGTGCTATTCTTTTTATTGCTAGTGGGGTGGGACTAAGTCCCTTGTACTGCGGCCACTTCTGGCCTATTGTACCAGCCCCAGATGATAGGTGAGGGTGATTGTGGAGCAATTGGTGGAATGAAGATTGGCAGGGGAAAACGAAATACTCGGAGAAAACCTGTCCCAGCGCCACTTTGTCCACCACAAATCCCACTTGACCAGACCCGGGATCGAATCCTGGCCGCCGCGGTGGGAAGCCAGCGACTAACATAGAGGAAGGTGCTTACTGTCCGACAGATAAGAATGTCCCTTTAGTGTAACGAAATTACTTTTGAATTACTCGATCAGATAAGCGATTATGCGATATCTTCCGTGAATAATGGGTATGATCTGCGTCTACATGGTTCCAGTAATAGGCGTGACCACGCGTTTAGATGTCGCTACGGCATGTTTCCCGTATCCCATTCAGTTTCATCTCAAAGCCTCTGACCGAGCCCCGTGTTCATCTCTACCTCGCAAACACACCAAGCAACAAGCTGTGAAAAGTAGTAACTCATAGTCATCGAGGCCTGGCCTTCAAGCCTTGGAACGAATGATAGCAATCAAACGTTAAATAGGACATTTTGGGCTTTATTAGATCATTCTTATCTTCCAAAGAAAAGTTACTTGCATTTGCGCTCTTTTTATTCCCGCGACTTCAAAATAACAACTCCTTGTGCAGAGATGTGATACTGCTTGTATGTCACGAATTGCCCGGCAAGGGACTGCACGTGTACGTTTACTGGGAATCCCCGGTGAGTGCTAAAGGGAAAGAGTAGGGAACGAAAACCTGATTTAAAGAGTCAGTACTGTCCTTACGTCTTGTTCCTCAAACCAGAAAGTCAAGCGGTCGATAGAAGAAATAACTAAAAAAAATAGTGATAAATAATCATATAAACGAAAAAAAAAATGATTTAGTTGGTTAGAATATACAATTACAGCAGCGAAGAACAGGGATTTGGAATTAAAATTAAAATAATTAGCCAAACGTGCAGCACAGTAAGAACAACATTGAATAACAACAGAAGAAAAGTACATAGAAAAGATAAAGCTATCCTTCTAACAGGCCATGGAAGACCACAGGTTTGTGAGACGTCGAGGCTTCAACATCTTCTAGAAAGTTGGCTCACAGATAGAGATGAGGTTGTCAGGCTTATGTGCCGGCACCCTTTATCCCCAGGAAGGTACCTGGTACTCATTCCTGTTACAGGTTGAGTCGACCCCAGGGCCATCGTGCGGTTGGAAGGATTAGGTCAATTAAAATATCAAATGACATCACAGAAATCGAACCTGCCACCTTCCGGCTTGTAGTATATTGTCTCGACCAACGTGTATTAATAACTATAGACGGGGTTTGGTTTGGCGAATACATTTACTGAAGACTTACAATTCGTAACCATAAATAATTATAACAGTATTTCTGATTTCCACACTAAAAATAACTTCACATAAGGGTTTTCTCAGTCTACTTTCTCTAGTCTTTACTTGGTAACAGTTCTCAGCAACAGTTATTCCTCTGCAATGTCTTCACTAGACGTTTCCCGGCAACGAATTTTATCAATTTAGGTTTTTCAATTTCCGTTGCTCGCTGGTTAACATTCTACAACTGAACCCTCAACTGCACTGTAGCGCCAACTGTTTTCAAGAAAACCCCTCGGCACGTTTCACGCAGAAAACACAGCCTCTCTAATGTTGGGGAGGCATATTTACCGCGTCGTTCCATAGATACGGTCACATAACGGACCACATAGAAAACACCGCTCTTTTATTATTGTCCGCGTTCGATTAATCGGGAACGTATTTACCGAGCTGTTGCTTAGAAACGGGTTGCATAATCGTGTTGTTCTATTCTTACGTGCGTGTATGTTACGGTCGATACATAGAAACGGCCACTGTTTACTGAGTCAGCGTTTAGCAACGGGTCTATAGGCCACAAAATTTCTAAGAAGAGGGTCAATGTAAATGTATGGAAAGCATTTCCTGGAGTGCAAAATTTTGCCACTAAGAAGAGTTTTAGTGCTACTTAGTGCGCAATATGCCATTCCGTTTTAAGTTAAGCTAAAAAAAATAAAAAAGAGTTCGTAATTAAGTCACCATTTTTGTAAATTCAGTGGCATTCAGAGTAATAATGAGGAATATTTGCATCCATCGTCTTCACACATAGTCGCAAAGAGCAAGAGACCAAGTGACCAGAGCGAGTATATCATTGTATTGCTTAGATATTAAGTAAATGGTAAGGTTATTCCTGTAGTAGGCGGTGCAGGCCCATAGGGTTGTGAGACGTAGAGGCTCCCACACTTTCTTCAGATAATCGGCTTACAGATGACGGTAAGGTTGTCTGCCTTACGCACCTGCCGCCCTTTAACCCCCCAAGGAAGATTCCTGGTACTCATATCTCTTAGAGGCTGGAAGGATAAGGTAAATTGAAAATTCCAATGACCCCATAGGGAATCGAACCCGCGACCTTCCAGCTTGTAGCATAGTGCCTCAATCAGCTACGCCACCTCTTTCATTGCGAAATATATCAGAATTAAATGCGAAATCTCGTTCAAGCTTTCGTATCCTTACACCCTTCCTCGATATCATGTACTTCAGACCCCCCTCCCTTCTTCTCCGCCTCCGATATGTTTACGTAAATCAGCCTCGCTGCATACTGCTCTGCATTTGGTTTCCAAGGGAATGACGCAACAGACGCATGCGCAGTGCAGACACAGGTATGAACCAAGAGGACAATTCTCATTCTGGTGTCGGCGGTAATGAAGGAAACTGTCCCTCGGGATCTGATGCTTTGTACCCTGGTAGATAGTTGCCGTCGCTTCACCTCCATCTCCTGTCATGATGACTGAGGTACAACGTTCCTCCGAAACGTCGGCATTATATAGGATTTGCAGTACTTACACCGGCGGGTATGAGTTAAAACTTCTGGGATACAATGTCATGTAGTCTGGTGAAAGAAACCGATATTTCGGCGAGATATGCTGCTTCCATCTTCAAGGCTGAAGAGTAAGAAAGCAAGAAACCAGCATGAAAGTGGTAAGAAGTAGAGTGATGCATGATGCAAACTTTCTTACTTGGCTTATTCTTCAGCCCTGAAGATGGAGGCGTCACGTCAGCTGACTCTCTCCAGACTATACGAAGTCATATCCTCGTACAAGACTATACGGTGTCACATTGAGAAGGCAGGAATTTTCGACTTTTACCTGCTACATCATTTTAATCTGTTACGCTGTGGAACCATTCATTTTACTTGGCCATATTAGTAGGCCTATGTTTCCAGCGTTTGAAATAAATCATACATCACATATTCTTGATAATTTTATGAGAGAGTATCAAGGGCAGATGTGAGGAAGAAGGAAGGGGCAAACCAGACGTCTACCGCCCTTCTGGATATTGTTTATGCTAGGGTGGGTTGCCATCCTCTGCTGAAGGTAGATGAATGTGTAACATCTGGTGGAATGAGAATTGGCAGGAAGTAGGTTATTTGTAGAAAAACGTACCCCAATTGCACATTGTCCATCATAATTCCCACATTATCTGATTCTGGGCATGCGCGTTAGGAGCCCAGCGACCATCCGCCTGAGCTCTGGAACAGTCCCCAATGACAGAAAACACTGAACAAAAGATGAACATCTACCAAATATTAATAAAAAAAATAATACTCGTTTTAAAATTGTATTCTCCTGTTCTTGGATGATCAGCGAAAATAGTTTGAACAGCTTAAACGCCGCGTTATAATTTTTAGCTCCCCCAATCCATAAAAATCCCATGGAGATGATAAAATCAAGGTTAACGCCATAAGAGTTCTTACAAAACGGCCAGTTCACAAGCTTGAAGCATAAGATATATTTGTGGCTCAGAATTAAGCATGAATATCACTAAATACAACTTACAAGTTCTTCACCTCAGCGCTTTTACCTTACAATCGACATAAAAACAGGGTACAGTTGTGTGGACGTTTAGCACTAGCGCCGTACATATTGGTGCTCAGAATCTGCATGTTTCATCTCAGTGGAAGCTGATGGAGACAGAGTAAAGGAAGCAACTTGTGATGTCCTGTTCTGTTTCTTCATAGGTACGTTCTATATGGGTGCTCACCTAGCAACAAATTCTCTGAGAGTTTCAATTTGTAGTTGATGTTGTGGCGTCCTTTATTCCACCCTGAGTTCTTGGCGGTCAGGAATGCGAACTTCGTAGGCTGGACTCCCGCCTTCGCTTACCCAAACCGAGCCGTTCTTGCCTTTCTTGATCAAATGAATCATCCCCTTGGCCACATTTTCAGGTCTGTCAACAGAATAATGTGTTACTGACATAGTTTGTTGGTATTCTAGCCCCAAGGTCGGACTGAACATAGGCAATATGGCTTCCCTTCAGGAATGTTCGAAAGTCCGACGTGCTAACGGCGATTCTCGTGGTTCGTATTTTGAAAGTCCTTAGTTCAAACACGGAGACCAGGTATTCGGACTCAAGGTTTTCGTGGTTTTCCTCAGTCCCTCCAGACAAATTCGGGAATAGTAGCCAAATTAGTTCATGACAGCTTCCTCCAACATCCTTTCAAATTCATTATTCACTTCAAATGTTATCTTCACGAAGCATGTTGGATACAAGTGTTTCATGACGAAATATAACCATGTAGCCATATTTTTACCATAAAATAACTTTCATTACACCATATTTTGAACCATTTTAAGAAATTTTACGTAATTATACATTATATTTGTACACTTAGAACAACACGTTTTATTGCAATTGGATCCAATTTGCAACAAAAACTAATATATGCGATTCTTCAATTTACATCATATTTATGAAAATTACTGGATCTTATGACGATCGAGAATGACTGAAACGTATAGTACTAATTAGCTTGTATTTGCTTATCTACCAACTAGAATTAATTGTGTATACGGTTAACCACTGCAATATAAACATCCTATCATTTCATTCTATGACCGCCTCTATCGGCAAAAGTTGGCACTAATTTCCCCGACAAGAGGCGGTCGCTCTGTCGATATAGTTCGCTTGCGGACTACAGGCCACGGAGTTTGTTTCATAATTCCATGCTATAGTTCAAAATTACCATATTTTGGGTACGCTCCAAATTTTGGATAGCGCGGTTTTTCGGGAAGTTAGGGTAACAGTGCGGTGGTGGCCACAGGACTTTACACTTCTTGTCCATCCAACTTCTCAGGAGGGGCAGACTGAACGCTTAAGTAGCAGTGTTGCAATATCGTCAGCGTATATATTTCTGCCTACTCTGATGCAATACCTTCCCTCATATGGTATAAGGTTTCGAAACTACACCCGCGTTTTAACTTGCAGTTTGTTTACACTAACGTCATAACGCGTAAATAACTTGTTTCCATCGGTTCTAAAAGCTTCAATTCCCGGTTATGTTGCCATGTTGGGATCAGTTGCCTGATTTCGGATACTTAACGTGACTGCCACTTTCAAGCATCAGAAATTAGGAGCCTCACTTAACACATCCTGGGGGTTTTGTTCGTTCTTAGGTGGCTGACACTAAAAGAGAGGAAGGGACCATATACCCCAGGCTGTAATTGGTTTCCTGAAAGGCGTACTTGTGCGAATTTTACAATCGATAAGCAGTCGAATTTGAATTGTGACTCAAAATTATTTTGTTTATATAAGGACACAGCTTGACGTTAACTCCCCATACGCCTTCACGGCGTAGTGCTTAATTAGTTAGGCACAGGGACAACTTTACTTTTAATTTTTTTTAGCCGAAACAAGGATGCACCCATACTCGAAATTAGGCTACCGTTTTCGAAGACCCTTCTTTTATAACTTTCTGGTTAGTATTGCTTTTTAAAATATATTCTGCATTTAAGTTCATAATAAGTACTAATTCTAGTTGATCTGGAACACGGTCCACTCAGCCTCGTGAGGATAATTGAGAAGCTATTTCAAGGAAATAGCGGCTCCGCTCTAGAATACCGAGATTAATGGCCGTGGGGATTCGTTGGGCTGACCACACGAACCCTTTATCCTTTACTTTGGTAATTACTTCGCCGATAAGCGGCGGTTGCTCGATCGGTGTAGTTCGCTTGCACGCAACAGAGTACTAATGATTCACGGTTCTGGGCTCCTACCTTAAGTATTCGAAATGCGGCGCCTTTAACCTATACTCTGAGCTAGAGACTGCATCGTTATATAGACCACAGAAGAGAACATTACAGCAATTCTGTAAGATCGGCAGTTTCCCCGACGACTGAGTGGCATCGTACTCACTTTTGCTTGGGAAGTTCATCCAGCTCCCGACCACATTCCTCACCCCACTCCCCCATCAGCTGGCGTAGATGGGCCTCCGAAATGAGGGGTGTGTCCGTCACTCCGGGGCACATGGCCAGCACCCTAACTCCAGTTCGGTCCAAGTGATAAGGCAGCTGCAAGAGTAATATGTATACAAATTTATTATTTAGGCCATAACTGTATAAAACTATACTGAATAACAATTTGAGTTCAAGAAAATATTACTCTCTGATCGAGTCAGTTCAATATCTGTACGTTTGGCTTGTACTCGGAAAGTGCTCCATTCAGTACCAACGAGGACAACGGCTATAACTGATTGTCAGTCGAACTGAAAAACATACTCAGTTGCTTGTAGAGTGTTGCTCACAAGATCAAAAGCTAACGTGATAATTAAAATTTAATATTAAAAGTATGTGTAAATACTGCGCTAAATTCTTAAGATTTTGCCGCAATATGTCGCCTGTATATCGGAAATTAAAAGGAAAAAAATTTAATTAAAATTACAGTTCCCTTGTTTCAACTTTTGTTCTTCCCAAAAATGTTAAAATTTTAATTTTTATATTATTTGAATAAATGAGGCATGGAGTAACGTTATGCACATCGAACAGATGACTCTCAAGGCTGTTTCCATTGCATACATTCGTTACTATCAGAGATAAAGTCAGCAGAAACGCGCCATGGTATTCCTCTTGTGAGTAGACTCACTCACTTCAGGGCAATGTTAGGAAAGCCGTCGTTAGTGCAAGATGCAACTATAGTCATCTGCCACACTCGTTCCTTTAGAGACATATTAACATTATCCGTTTGTCTAGTACTCCTAGGTTTCCAACGTGATTACTTGTCTTCGGATTATCCTCCTGACATTCTTTCTTGCATTTATCTTTTCTCCAATTCGTGTTACATGTCGTGCCAATCTCACCCTTCATTGCATAACTTTGATAATAAGTTCCTCCATCCTCTTGTCACTTCCTGTCTCTCAGGCCCAGATACTCGTACTATCATTGACACATTCTTAAACAGACTAAATCTTGAAAAATACTAACTTCAGGGATGATACGCCGTGTGGACTGGTAGAAGTTTATCGGACTGCATGGTATCACATTCCAGAAAATATACCTCATCACAGTCACCACTGTCACAAACTCAAATCTAAAATTTAAAACTTTTTTTATTGCTAGTGGGGTGGGACTAAGTCCCTTGCACTGCGGCCACTTCTGGACTATTGTACCAGCACCAGATGGTAGGTGAGGGTGATTGTGGAGCAATTGGTGGAATGAAGATTGGCAGGGGAAACCAAAGTACTCGGAGAAAACCCGCCCCAGCGCTACTTTGTCCACCACAAATCCCACTTGACCAGACCCCGGGATCGAACCCGCGCTGCCGCGGTGGGAAGCCAGCGACTAACATCTTGAGCTATGGCGCGGCCTTTTGTAGCATAATAAATTGAAGATTGTGTGTATGCAGTCTTTTACCATGAGGGATGGCCTAAGCTTTTGTACATTACTGAGATCAGTATGATGCATTACCTGCCCTCAGAATAAAGCGTCTCTCTCTCCATGATCTCCCCTTTCACCTGTTCTTCTGCTACTCCTCTTACCCCTCCGTCACTCTCCCTATGTCGCCTTTTAACATGTAAGCAGTTATAACTGAAGTCCGGCCAAGAAGCTTCAAGTACCTGGAAGTCCTGTGTACTCACGTATGGAGTACTCATTGTTGTGGGTAGTACTTACTCCAAAAGAACGGGTAATACCGATGACTGCGTGCTTCGTGCCAACATAGACGGGACATCCTGCCATGGGAGCCAGGCCCAAAATGGAGGCGATGTTAACCACTACACCACCTTTGCCTCCTTTGTCCTTTCCCATGTATTGGAACCCCAACAAGGTGCCCCTCACAACAGCGTTCTGGAAGAACCAAATGCTGTTCATAGCGGCCCATGCTCGTGAATATATTTGCTTCCTAAGTGTGACAATGGACAGCCTCATGAAGATATAACACTCTTACATAACCTACATACGCAGACGAAGTCACAGGACATCATGTGTTTCGCTCAGAATTAATGGATCAGCCACTGTCTACAGCTTACAATTTTTTCAGATACCGAGGAGGGGGAGCTAATTTAGGAACTATTTCAAGGAAATAGCGACTCCGGTCTAGAAACCTGAGATTAACGGCCGCGGGAATCCGTTGCGCTGATCACGCGACACTCTCTATCCGCCAAATTTGGCACTAACTTCGCCGACAAGAGGCGGTAGCTCGGTCGGTATAGTTCGTTTGCGGACTAAAACCACGGAGTTTTTTGTTTGTTTATACATCATTAGAATATTTGACACGGTTGTCCCTCTTACATTTCATAAACATGTAGAAGAAGGCTCCTTTCTCGGAGACTTGTTTTCTTATGGTAATAAGTTGTTTGTTTCACCACTATGGTGCCTTCGTTCCTGCAGATGACGTACATATGTGGGGCGCCTACATGTGCGGTCTAAGTATATTAGTCTAAACGCATATGACCTTGACATTTAATCCCTATGTTGTCATTTGAACACTAACAGCTAACGGCTTAATGTGTGCTATGATAGACTCTGACCTTCATTAATTCTGATGGCCTTGTCCAAATAAACAGATAACAATTAGCGTGTATCCTTGACAGAATCAAAGTTATTATATCGTCAATCAGGATTCACACAGAAGACGTTGTTTCGAGTCGAGTACACACATTCTTCCCAAATTCAAGCCGTTACTATCGTAGCATTGAGACACAAACGTGATGGTATATCGAGCCTAGATAATGCTACAAATTTTCGATGAGGCCAGGACCTGATTGTACCTATTCTGAAACCTTCAGTGTATTCTTGTAACTCTGAAAAACTTTGCGAAAGTCCACCATTCTGTGTTTCTGGCTTGAAATAACACAAGATTTTGGTATCATGAAAGAAAAATATTTTAACATTAATTCAGATATTACGGTTCCTAAAGTGGACACAAATATTTCCCACTACATCACAATTTGAGCGTTGAGTTCTCAGCCAAAATAGCTATTCTATTTCTTTAGTATATTTTTATTGTTCTAAAAATTTTTGCCAATGGTAGTTCATAAATTGTTTTATTTGTGAATAAATGTTTATTCCAATTTATATAACGCTATTATTTCAGATTACATGACAGGTGGTGTGCGTGTTCATATATCTTTCCACAAAAGCGTGGAGGATTACCAAGAATCTGAGCGTGTTCAATTTCTTAACTGTGTACTTCGTGATTACTCCACCCAAATTAGCCAAGAACTCATTCGGCAAGGTTTTCGAGAGGATTTGAACATGTTTTGTTTCCGAATAGTCAGATTCATTTTCTCTGAAATCTGAAGGGTCAGTTTGTAGGAATTGCGGAGAGATATACTGTTTTCCTATCCGTTTAATACTAAACAGCAAGGTTTATTGTCTTCAACACGTGCAATTTACAAATTTCAGATCTATATTTTAATTAATTTTGGCAAGAAGATGCGAAGCATCATAAGATATTGAAACAATGTGACATATAATTCAGATTTTTCAGATGTGATCTCCTCTTTAAGCAATTTTCTTACAGAGAACAAAATCAAAACGAATGTGCAATTATGTAATTCGGTAGCATTGGAGTTCGTTTTAGTATGGTGTAATGAGACGGGGCCTACTTACCACATTGACTGCAATCTCAAGTTCCCATCTACCATCGTCCAGGATACCGGCATTGTTAATAACAATGTCCAAAGCCTTGAATGTTGTGTATGTTTTCTTGAACGCCTCTGTAATACAAAAAAGATATTCTGAAAAATCTCACAACGACTTTCTTTCCTAAATGCTTGAATCTCTCTCTATGGCTTGCAAATCTACATAGTTGCCATGCTTATAATAATGTTCCATGTGAAATTTATAGAAATGAATTTACATCGTACCAGATTTCATGTCCTATTGTAATCCAATGGAAATATCCACATATAGCTCTGGTTCACTCGTCATAAAAGCTTTTAAGACATGCACATTTTAAGCATTTTTAATGTATAAAATTTCAGATGAGTATATTGAATAGCGCTAATGTGACTGTAGCACCTCAAAAGTTTGCACGTTTTCCCTGTTGATAATATTCAGAATAAGAGAATAGAATATGCAAATGTGGAGGGTAAATTTCATTACATATTCGTACCATACGATCATTAAGATTCGTCAGCATCCTGACTCAGATGTTGCAGAGGGGAGACAGATGCACATATAAATGGGATACCGGAAATCTATTCTTCTTTAGGAAGGGAAAACTTTCACTTCTGTCCAATGTGCCTTTATGCGTTAACGGGATCCTGGCTAAGATGGACGGATATGCAATCACTCGATATACAGTAGAACTTGGTTATAACGTCATCAAAGGGACCTAAAAATAGTGTCGTTATAAACGAATGTCGTTGTAACCGAAATGGGCACTTCCACAGTAGCCTTATATTAGTCACCTAAAAATCTATCAAAAACCGAGTTAAAATGTTGCATTTTTTAGTGAAATACGTAGTTAAGTACAGACTAACGTAACATTAACGTGGAATTAATATGGATTCTCCATATCGTTTGTATTGTAGAATGCACCAAACCAAATTCGTGGCATACATCAGCTTTTTTCCTTCCATTTTCTATTTCACGAATCACTTTAACTTTCTCTTCAATGCTTAAAACTTTCCTTTTCATTGCCATGTTTTCGCTACTGCACTTCTCTGGGTTTAGGCAGGAACACTATAGGGTAAGTAGACAATGTGAGGTCCTGTTAGACGAGATTCTAGGAAAGGAATGCAGTTAACAACCTGCCGCGTCCTCTTGCACTATTCACGCAGTCCCACCCCACACTCTTGTTTTCGCATAAAACCCACGCTCCTCTTGCAGCCCGCGGTCGTATTCTTCCAGGACAGTCACGTCAGCAAGTAGAGAAAGTGAGGGTGGGCAGACACATCGAACTTTCCCACGATATCAGAGAAATTCAGGAATGAAAATGACGTTACATACGAGGTTGATGCATTTGTGCATGTCGTACTAAGCAAGGTATAAAAACAGTTGCTTTATGAGGAATTAGTTCGTACCATTGAATATTTGACGCAATAGACAAGGTGTCGCAGAAACCGATGTTGCTATAACCAAGTTTTACTGCACTTCCAAACAATTTAACAACCATCTTTATCTGATCTGAAGAGTTCTGCAAACAAGTCCAGTGTCTCCAGTATATGACGAATCTCCTTCAATAAGGCGATAAGGTTACCTTCCAACTCAGCTGTATTAGTGACGTCAGTCTTGATGAAAATAGCTCTGTCAACTCCATACTCTGCCTGTAAATCCCGCACTGCCTTCTCCCCCTTGCGAGAGTCCAGATCGCAAACAGCCACATGCTGGAATACGAATTTGGGAGAAGAATTTGACTCCTATTTTCTACTAAGTACTCTCATAAAGCAGTTATAAAGTAATCACAATAATCACTGATGTACATAAAGTAAAGCTATCCCTGTAACAGGGTTGTGAGGGTCCCACATTATCCAGACAATCGGCTCAAAGATGGCGGTACGGTTGTCAGCCTTACGCGCCGGCCGCGCTTTACTCCCCAGGAAAATTATTTATTTAATTCCTGGTACTCATTCTGTTAGAGGCTCATTGAACCCCAGGGCCATAGTGCCAATTGAAAAAATCCAATGACCTCATCGGTATTTGAACCCGCGACCTTCCGACTTGTAGCATAGTGCCTTAATCACTACGCTACCGCGTGCACCTCCCTGATGTACATACATAATTTATTTCCAAAAGTCTAGGAAGTGGGATACGTCAGATCTTACTCACGCACGAATACCGGAAGTACGCGAAGGTGAAGTTATCCCTGTAACAGGCCGTGGAGGCCAATAGGGTTGTGAGACGTCGAGGCTCCCACATTTTCTCTAGACAATCGGCTCACAGATGGCGGTAAGTTGTTCAGCCTTACGCGCCGGCCACTCTTTACCCCCAGGAAGATTCGTGGTACTCATTTTTTTAGAGGCTGAGTCGACCCCAGGGCCATAATGCGGCTGGAAGGATTAGGTCAATTGAACAGAACCACCTCATCGGGACTCGAACCCGCGACCTTCCGGCTTGTAGCATAGTGCCTCAATCAACTACGCTACCGCGTGGCCTACGAGAAGTATGTTGAAAACAGAATCTAGTAAGTTTCTGGGGATGACGTAATTATCTACGTCAGGAATTGACAATGATTCTCCATCGTTCCCGCAGTGGATTCAGTCGAGAGGGCCTACATGGAGACCCCAACAACATATGTGCAATAATCACATTGCAGACATGACGAGGCGTTCCTGGTTTTAATTGAAGAATGGAGAGTAATACAGTTGAGAGGAGTGTGAGTAATTTTACTGAATGATTTTGGGAACCCCTTCTAAATATTCTGACAGACGGATGGACATTGAGTTCCGCATACTGTGATTACTGTATGCAATTCGTGCAAAGAGGCATACAAATTTATGAGTAGATCAGACACAATATTTGGTCTTCAGACGGAGACTCGAACCTAGCTCTCCCGAAACATGAAATTAACTATGGTATCTAACCAAACACTTCAGGATTCGACGACATTGTACATAAAGTACGTGGTTATGTATACGGTTCAAAATAGTGACATTATAAGCAAAACACACCCTTCATTTTCATACTCAAGAGTTCATTACGAAGACAAAACAACTCCGTCCAGTGTGACTGCTTAAGTTTTTACTACTTGAAAACTTAGCACTCTTACATCTTCCGGTCCTTATGGACCATCACCAGAGGGAACATTGATACTTTTTTGGAAACTACTATCACAGTGGGTGTTCAAATTGCTAAATTACATATACACACAGTGTTTGCAATGCACAATATACACAAAATCAAACTTTTCCACAACCACAACAGCTTTCCTGGTATATTAAAATTTTTAAAGTTACAGTAAAAACAACACAGCACGCCACGAACAAACACAGGACGATACCAAGAATCATAGCAGCTTTCCTGGTATTGAAGTTTTTAAAACTTTGTTGTTTAAGTTAAAATTTATAAACCAAGTGAGTTCGTGTCACTTCTCCTATCGTCTTTCCTGAAGGGGGCTGAACTTGTGCCGCCTGTCTATCTTGAGAAGGAGATTCTTAGAATCGTCCTGTGTTTGTTCGTAGCTTGCTGTGTTGTTTTCACTGTTCTAGAGTGTGCTGTGTCACGTAATTTATACTTCCTGTGTCTGTGACGTTAACTTAAACAACAAAGTTTTAAAGACTTTAATATGCCAGGAAAGTTGCTGTGGTTGTGGGAAAGTTGGATTTTGTGTATATTGTGTATTCCAGGCATTGTGTGTGTATGTAATTTAGCACTCGGAACACCCATTGTGATAGTAGTTTCCAAATAAGTATTGATGTTCCCTCTGAAGATGATCCGTAAGGATCGAAACATGTAAGGGTGCTAAGTTTTCAAGCAGTAAAACTTAAATAGTCACACTGGACGGAGTTGTTTTGTCTCTGTAATTGTTAGTGTGACGGACCAGAATCGAACAAATCAAATTCAAGAGTTCATGCTAACCAATCACCAGAAGATACACGTACCGGTGGCCTGACACAGCCGAGTACACTGCAGCATGTGACTCACCTGTGCGCCGTTCCTGAGGAGCTCCTTAACGTATTCGAGGCCAATACCGGTAGCAGCTCCTGTCACCAGAGCCGTCTTTCCCTTAATGTCCATGTTTCACTTTTCTGGAACACGATGACAAATGTGTATGGAGGGCAGACACCGTCGAAGTGACACACAGTCGTGCTAATGCACTGATAAAGGACAATCTGTTTAATTTAAACGGTGCTACATCCTCATTTCGAATTGCGTTATCAATTAACTCTGTTTCAATATTAGATTATATAGTCAGTAATTTAATAATCAAGCGAATTACTTCAAAGGATTACTGTGTTATGGGAAGTGACGCCACGTGATCTGGTACAAAGGTAAAGTTGTCCCTGTGCTTAATGGGGACTGGATGTATAGATCCATATTTTCTTGACCTCTGCACTATTTGGAGTAGTCAGCTTCACGCTCCGGCCGCTTTATCCCCAAGGAAAGTGCCCCCAATGCCCATTGGATAGGAGGCTGGGTGGGCCCCAGAACCAGTATGGAAGACGTGGAGAAGAGAAAATTCTTGGCCCTACCAGGATTCGAACTGTCCCCTCGGTCGACCAACCCGTATCTAGTCGCTATACCGACTATGCTATTGTGGTTTATGTTGTCTGGTAGATATATAAATATGTTTCGGAGGAACATACTGCCTCATTTTTCAGAAAAGAAAAGGAAGAACGTTCTCCGAATCGCCGGTAAGCATATATCGGACTACGGTGCGTCACATCCCAGTCATCGCTATGATAATCTCAGATCTCACTAATTATCTGAGATTCAAGACATGTGAAAGTAGACTTTGTGGGGAACTTCAGCCTTCTGCACAAATACGCAACTTCCAGTTACAGCCAGTAAGTTCATTTCTCAAACAGTCACAAACAATGTCTTTTATATTTGATTTTACTTATTTTATTCTTTCACTTCTACGTAGTATGAGGTGAGAAGTATAGAAACTCCTTTCTTAGCCGAATGCATTCAGCGCTGTTTGCAGGTTACGTATTCAGTAGTTCTCCAAGTAAAAGCGAGCAGTCCAGTGCAAGACCTTTACCAACACACAGCATAGAAACAATTTTTGTCCCACCTATATCAGAGATTTGCAGTCTCACTCCCACTACACATCAATGACTTAGTGTTAAGCAATTTTACCTTTGATTTTCCATATTATTTGCCATGAAGTATGCACGGGTTTGATACGCGGTGGTGACAGCCAGTAACTGAGGAACCCCGTGGAGCAGGGTCCTTGTTCAGAAGTGGGTATTGACTCCGCTAGTCACGAAAATTCCTCGCGTTTTATGCAAAGTAAAATTCATCACCAGCCGATCACATTGGCCGCACGGTCTAAGGCATGAACTGTCTTCCCCCGCTCGAGCGCTGCGATATTTGGTTCGAATCCCACTCAAATCATGGATGTCTGTGTGTGCGTTTATTCTGTGTTTGTGTTTTCCTGTGGGTAGGTAGCGGCCTTGCGACGGTCTGATCACTCGTCCAAGGAGTCCTACCGGCTGTGAAAAAAGATTTCGAAACTGAAGAAAAGGCCATGGCCTAACAAAGGGCTATAGCGCCAATGATTAATGAATGAAAATTCATCACCGTGTTCACAAGGGATTCCACTGGTTTCTATGTTCAATTTGAAGAATCCATGCCACAGTATCCTGTTTCTTTAAGGTACAATTTAATACTATGCTCTAATGTACGGCCAGGTCTTCAGGGGCTTGTAAGTATAGGATTTATTTAACAATCCGAGAAGCAGTTCTATCGCATGTAACTTGATGAAGCCTTCTTTCGGAGCACACTAAGACAGAAGTTGTGATCATGTATCGAATTTGCGAATGTACTTGAGTGGCGAACTGATGCTTAGAATTTTAGAATGTTGTGACATACCAACACTTTCACAATAACGATAATTTGGCAAGTTCAGTGATGCTTATACAAATGCGTCGTGCATTTCCAGTTCAAATATTTTGATATTTATACGTTTTATTTTGGTTTATCAACTAACACATAAAATGGAAGCAGAGGTAGCCGGTGCTGTTCGTTGGCGTTACACGATACAGTAATTCTAATGCTGAATTAGATTTCAATGACCAAGCAGTTTTTGGAGAGCGGATCTTAATCACGCATATTAATCTACAAAAAGCCAATAACTTTATTAACTGAATTTAAGAATTATAAGAACCATCCGATGAGTGACAAAAAGTACTGGTCTCTGAAACCAATAAATATTAAATTTAAAAATTATTTATGATAAAATGTGTTTAGTTAATTTGTACTACTAGTATATAACTTGTACTCTTCTCCAAGTATAATTAGAATGATCAAGCCAAGGAGGATGAGGTGGGCAGA